AAACTGCTAAACCCCATTCATAACTCAGTGAATTGCCCAGACTAATACACAACAGCTGAACCCACTATTTCACAAAAAGCCTACCAAGTCTACCTTTATTCCATAAAAGGACCATTATCATTATACCACATGGGAACCAATTTAGGTGTAGCAGGACATTATGACTAATGACAAGCATCAGAAGATACTATACAGGTGTTACCAGGCTGGGAGTAATCAGTTGGGTGCCATAGAGGTAGTCAGTCTCCCACACCTGAAGTCATGGTCAGGGGTCAAGTCTGAAATTCAAAACCTAAGCTAGAGACCATAAAGATCTACAGCTAATAAAAATGGACTTTGGGAAAGCCCAGTCCTCAGTATGCTACTTTAAACAAGGACTGCAGGCTTCCAGGAGCCCACACTGCACAGCAAGGTGTCCCACAAGGATTTCAAAGGAAACTTGAACACAATCAGACACAGAACAGTGAATCACAGAGTCAGACCAAACCTGCAAAGAACTAGCCCACAATGGAATCCAAATCCTATCTCTTACCTCTCTCCAAGTCTTTTCTGGATATCTGAAATGGGGTACTACAACCTCCCAAGGACAGGAGCTCTCAAAGGATGTGTGAAAAAGGTCATGGTTTTTTAGCTTTTCAAAAACCAAGGTCCTTCTGAACCGTGCTGATATCACACAGGCACAGGAAATATTAAAATACAACATACACACACACTGATACACCCCCTCTGAAGTGGAGACATTAAAATGACAGGGCAACTGCTGAAAGTAATTACAAGGATCACAACTTGGGATCTGGATGCCCACATGAAATTCCTGCTAGTACAAAATTCCCAGTTTCGATGCTTAAATCTTTCAAAACATCCAGCTTTCTAAAATTGTGCAGTTTTTAGAATTTGGAAGGAATTAAAAAATTGCCTTTAGAAGAAGCTCCATCACTCTAACACTGAAGGCTCTACAGCTGAGAAAGAAAATTGCTTTTGTCACAAAACAAATATTCTCCAAGTCACAGATTTCACAGTATCCTTACAGAGAAAGGTCCAAATCCCACTGGAATATAATGGGATTGAATGCATGCATTCTAAACTACAATGGAATTCAAGTGCCTACATCCAATTGAAGTGCAATTAGATTTGAGTACCTAAATCCCATAACCTGATTGAAAGTCTACCCTCAGTGTTTCACAGGATCATGGGGGCAGGTGGGACTTGGCAAACATATTACATTATGACTCAGCTAGAACAAGAGAAGCTGCATTTAATTCAATAAGATTATCTCACCCCTCTCACATATAGGATTATTTTCTTGGGTTTTATTCTTTTACAACAGAAGGTGGCATTGCTGAACTACCAGTGTTACACAATTAGCAGATCCTGCATTCTCCTTCCCAGAAGAGAAACTGCTGGGAAGTTCACAGAGGTTGCATAAAGTTGACTTACATAAATAGGCTTTCCTGATTCTGCAAGCCCAAAGTTAAATTAAGCTAGGAAACCAGCCAGCATGAGCAAAAATCATGGGTTTGGCACACAGGATTAGAATGGCTGCACAGATTTTGATCAGGCCTATGATATATATACACACACCAATCCTTTGAAAAAATAAATAACTAGCAAACGGAGGCAGAACACACATGACATCTGGAACCAATATATGCCAAAAAAAAAAAAAAGCTAGCAAATACTTTCCACTGTTTTACACATTCAGGAACTAGTTTTGTCGTCCTCTCGCCTCAATTGCAGGCTATTGCCACAGGGTGGCTCATCACGCCTGCGATGCGAGTTTCAGCCCTTTCTGCTTACACAAGCAGCCGGAGCAAAGCCGCTCTTTCTCCAAGCCGGATTGCCACAGACCGAGCACACAGGAAAAACAACTACAAAGAGAAAACCAGGAAGAGCACAGACCCAATTTTCATTCACCTTAGCCCCGCATAGCTTCTCTCCCGCCAGCCAGTGAGCCAACAATCATTCCTGATGATTTTGCGGGCGGACAGAACCGTGTGACACGAAGGGAATGAGCCCACATTCCTCAGCAGCCAAAAATCCCACTGACTTCCTTGGAATGTCCAAATGGCCAAAACAAGTCAGCCTCACGCCTTGTTCCTATACCTGCTCACTGTGACAAAATAGAACTTGTTCCTTACAGAGGGCATGAGAGAGGAATCCTGTTCACTTGATAGTGCCATTATGAAAACTGACCTCATTATCACCTTGGGGCTGGTAAAATTTGGTGTTAACCTCTATAATAAAATAATGTCACAAACTGTTAAGAAAGCAGACTGGCAAATTGAAAAACATGCACTTTTAACTATAAAATAATTCTAGATGTGAAAACTTGTTTTTTTTAATAAAAGGAGCTTCATACAGGTATCAAACTTAATAAGTAACTCTTTACTGTTAAATAAATTCAAACATGCATACGTGACTAAATTATTGTAATGATCAAACACTATTGACTACTATAAAACAAAAGGGCTCTGAACAACTGGAAATTAGAATTCTCTTGTTTCTAACTTTTTTTTTCTTTTTTGCTGCTCTATGTAAGGAATATGTTCATCCTGAGTGAAACAAAGTATAAAGTTATTATATACTTAGCATATTTGGTTTGGTAGTGCAATTTTCAAAATGCAATTTAATCAATTTCCTCAGATTTAATATGGCATTTAAACCCTAGTGCATTGTCTCCTCCCAGTACTACATATTTAAAATGAAATTGGATCCAAAAAAGTTCCCCATTTCATGGCTTCTGAACTAGTCATTCACAAATGCTTTTTGAATGTAATAACTCTGCTCATGATGAATACGAGCTACCCTGCCAAATCTGAGACTACTTCCGGAAAGACTAGCATCCAGAAAAACCACTAAGTTCAAAATTAATTCCAGACAGCCCAATGTGAGGCTGAAATAACATGACAGAGCAGGGGGGAAAAAACCCAAAAAAAACCACGAAACGCAGAAAAAAAATTCCCTAATATGCTAGGAATATAATCGCAACGAAAGACTCACACTCCGGTGGTAACATGAGCCCGCAGGGCAGTAATTACCCTGGGCAATGGGCAGTGCCCCTGGCCTGTCGTGTTGCAGGCACAGCCCGGATCCCCTTACAGCTGCTCTACTCTCATTTGCGTGCCCGTGCCATGCAAACATGTTGAGTTTATGATAAACAAGCAGAGTTGTACAACACACACAAGAGGTGCAGTGTTTTCCAGAGCCATGAACACAGGAGAGATCTCGGGGAGCGGGTATTGCATTCTTAAGTTACGTATCAAGAACGTAAAACGCATGAAGAAAGAGTACTTTTTAACAAAAATTGTGCTGTATCCGTCTTCTCCACAGCACCACACTACTGCTAACGTACCCTAAGTCACGGTGAGGTACTGATTTATTCCCACCACTATTTACGAACAGTGCTTTCCACCCCGCATCACCCAGGAAATTCCCAGATCGCTTTGAAATTTCACACGGCGCTCCCCAACCACTCCTGTCGCGCTGCCCCACACCCGCAACTCGTGGTTCAGCAGGGCTTTATGGCAGGGCTAGATGAAACCACACTAGGAGCCCGCAGAGGCTTTGGCTTTCCTGTGCCCTTTGTCAGAGGCCGGGGGCTTTCCTATGCCCAGGAACCGGGAATGCGGAGACCCCCAGCCCTCCCGCACCTGCCCTCCCTGAGCGCCGGCGCCAGCACCCTCAGGGGGCGGCCGCACCCCACAGGACCACACCACCACATACAGAACTACAAGCCCCACAATGCACCGCACCCACGCACCGGAAAGCGAGGCTCGCGGTAGCCGGCGGGGCACGCCGGTCTTTGTAGTCCCTGCGCTGCCCCGTCCCTCCCGCCGCTCTGGGCAGGCCCCGCCCCCCGCACGGGGCGGGCCTGGCGGTGGCGCGGCGGAGTGGGGCGCGCGGCGGGAGCAGGTGAGTGGGGCTGCCGTGCAGGAGGGCGGGAGCGCCGGCACCGGGAATCAGGGGAGCGGGCAGGGAGGGACTGAGGCAGCGGGCAGCCCGTGGGGGAAGGCCGGGGGAGTGGAACCTCGCCGCTGCCCGTCCCACGCCCGAAGAGAACGGCCCCCGACGTCTCCGTGCAGCTGTCGCAGCTCCCGCGCACCTGTGGGGAGGCGGCAACGGGCGGTGGCACTTCGCGGTTCGGTCCCTCTCGGGCGGGATGGCGGCTACGGAACCCCCCCGTTCCCCGGGGCGGGGCCTGGCCGCGCCTCCAGGTGTTTCCTCGGCCGGTTGCCGCAGCCGTGCGAAGGTACCGGGAGGGTTCCTCGGGCCTCGCTGGTATCACGGGCTCGGGGCCGCCCCTGGAGTTACGTAAAGCGGCGGCGGCGGCGGCGCTCCCCGAGCGCGGCCCCTCAGCGGTGGGGCCGGCCGGTCTGGTTTGGTTCTGCTCGGGTTCAGAACCGCCAGAAGCGGCGCTCCCCGACGTGCGGAGTTTGCTGCGCGGTACCCGCGGCTGTCTCCAGATCAGACTCTTCGGGGCAGGAGTTACTCCTCTGTGTGTGAGGTGTGATAAATAGCCCCCCCATTTTGGGTGCATAAGCAGGTAAAAAATGTTGTTAGGTAACTTGGCTGAAGTCGGCACAGAATGATTATTTTACAAAATCATGAAAATTGTTTCTTTATATATTGTACTTGTTCTCTAGCTGACTTTCCTCAGTAGCACTTAAAACCTAAACATCAGAGATCAGCTTGTCTGCGTTGTCCAAACAGAGGCAGAATATATGTAACCAGATCACACATAGTATTGCATAGCTAAAAGTCTTATAAATCCAATTATAGCTGTTAAGTACGGATTGTTTTGTTTCTAATCATTTATCCTGGAATCGTGTGGCTTATATCTTTCTCACTGAATATACAAGCCATTAGTTTAAAAAGGTTTGGAACTGCGATAGCTGCAAGCTGCAGGCAAACCCTTTTTAAGTGGTTTTATTACAGCCTATTTGCCTCTCCCGCAGAAAGGGAGGTGGCTGCTGTAAACACCAGGATAAGTTGGTGTCATGCTGCTCTTGTAGCATGTGACAGCCGGGTTCCCGGGACTGTCCTATCCTGTTTGAGATCTTGCAGTTCAGCCCTTCCAGCAAATGTTCTCTTCCTCTCCTTTCGTTCTTAACTCACACTTGGGAATCAAACTAAACAAAATACATGTCCCAAACAGGAAGCAAATTTCTTGCAGAAAGTCAAGTAAATATCTAGACAAGAAGGTGCAGTGTCTGGGGTATCTCCTAGGTGCTATGAGGGGTTTGCTGTTGAAGTTGGTGTGCTGCAATGATTCTGCTGGTTCTGTGCAGCTGGGGTAGGAGCAAACTGAGCACACAAACCTTCCTTGCTGCGCCGAGGTAAGTAGGGAGTGACATGGTTTGTCTAACAGGATTCTTTTTTTTTTTAATGCAATTGTTCTCAGTTCCTTCTATTGCATGAATTGGCAGTAAACTATATTAGTAGATAAGGCTGGATTCCTAGGGCTGTGACCCTTGTTTGAGCATTGTATTTTCTTCTAATATTTAGTAGCCTTCATAAAGTGCAGATTAATTTGATTTTAAACCCTGTTGTAAATATTTTACATACTAGGAAATTGTGATACTTCTACAGTTAAAGATGGATTTACGTATGTATTTAGGAATATATATGTGTTTGTGAGTCTGGTAATATTTTTGTATATTTCTTTCAACTTTTTTACAAAAAAATATTCAAGTTAAGTGAAGCCATGTGCTATTTGCTCACTTGACCTGACATTTCTGTTACTCAGAGATTACTTTCCTGTTACTTTTCAAAGTTAGAGGAATCTGTGTGACACAGGTAGCATCAGCCCCTTTTATTTGTCTGTGGGCATGTTTACTGTGTCAGATTGAGTCAAGAATGGCCTTCAGAAGAAAACAGTGTCATCATCACCTTTAATACTCATCGACTCACAATTTAGGATGGCCTTGCAGAGAACAAAAGAGACTAAACCAGAAAATGTACCCTGGGAGCAGGCTTAGTGTAGAACAGCTGCTAATATCCAGGCCGTGGTACCGAATTAGAGCTGGTCTGGAATGGAAGCTGCTGAAGCACATACAGTGCAGGTGTTGGCCTCTCAACACCAAGGGCTTTGTCCTCAGGGTGGGCTGTGTTGAGCTCTCTTGCTTGCCAAATTGGTGCAGCTGCTCAGAAATTTGTGTGCAGTCAAGAGTAATGTGTAGTAAGTAAACAAGCTCAAGATAGTGAGTTCTTGACTGGCATTTCACTTTAAAGGAAGAAGTTCTTCTAGGAAAGACTGTTCACAACTATTGTAACTGGTGAAAATGTCAATGTGGGGTTTTAGGTTTGGTTTGGTTCTTTTTATGAAGTGATGAACAGCACAAGGTTTTTTTGCATCTTAAAATTCCATGAACTCCTAGGTTAGGTTCAACAGATAGCCCCTGAGATGTGGGTTTATTTTCCACTCCAGGTTCACAGTCATGCAACAGAGGATAATCACTTTTTACATATAGATTGATTTTTTGCAGTCTAGATTCACTTAGGTTCTTCCTTTTACAGGAGTTTAATCCTATACCTCCCAATAACATAGCTGGGTGGGACATTGTTTAAAGGCATGCTTGTGCTGGTAGTAGTATGGAAGAGTCACTGAAGTGGCAAGTGAAAAAGTAGTTACCTTTTTTAGTGTTTCATTTAGATATTGTTCAGAGAATATGGGTATAGAAAATTTATCAGACAATGCTTCACACCTTGCATAAAGAAAAATCATTGCAGAGCTTATTGTTTGAGGCAGAAAATAGATTTTCTTACTGAGATGTGGGTGAAAAAAGGGATTTAGATCTAGTGTAGCTCCAGGAGAACATCTTGTCTCAGGACAGGTGTGACTTGCTTCTCTCACACAGAGTAAGGCCGAGGCAGGTCAGATGTCTGACACGTGGCTTCACTCCCACACCCAAGCACAGGACTGTACTGCAACAGAAGCTGCTGGATCCTTCAAATCCCATCCCTGACCAGCTGAGTGAGTCAGCAGGGGTTTATGATACTGAGTTCAGCTCCCTCAGATGCTGCTGAGTGTCCAGCCACATTCCACAGTGAAGCAGAGATATTCCCAAGAAATTACTGTCAGTTTGAAGTTGTTCTCCTAGTCAAGTTAACTGAGTTTTCTGACAGACAGTGTGTGACAACTTCCTGAAGTAGCTGACTAAGTTTGTTTTTGCTTTACTCAAGGAATTTGTTCAAGAGAATTTTTCAGTCTTCCTCATGCTGGTTCATTTAAAATTTATGTCTCTATTCCTGTGCTCTAGTATTAATTTAGACCAAGACAGGGAAAGCATCACTTCATGCTCACAATGAGGAATCTCATTTGGTTTTACTGCAGTAGGTGATTGATTGTCTGATGTGAATCAGGTTGGCGGTTTCCCATTTCACAGCTTCCTGCAACCTCCTGGTTGATTAGTTTATTCCTGGCTAAATGGATCATGGCTCAAATCCTGTTAATCCAAAGAGATGGCATTTAATTTGCATCTTGTAAGAGCTCTTCTTTGGGTACTTTGTTAAAATGAGGAGATGGTGCTTTTTTGGCAGTTTGATACTGCTGTCTTAATTTTACTTCCCTTTTTTTCCAGAAATGTATACACATGCACACAAAAGACTCATTTAAAATGCTTTTTTTGAAGAAAAAAATTTTTCATTTCTTTTTTTTTCTGTACACTTTTTTTTTTCTATTTTAATCTTCTGGAATGGAAAACTACCTGCTGTAACAACCCTGCTTTTATTGTGCATGCTTGTAAAACTTAATTGCTGCAATTCAGACTCCAGAAAATGTGCACATTTTACATTGTGACAAATGTCTGTAGCATTATATACAACAGAGTTGTTTTGAAAAAATATTTTGCATTGGAAACAGATCCACTATACTTGAGTGAATGTGTAATATGCAAATATGTTTTCACCTGAGTTGTTTACTGTCATATCTTTTGATTCATGTCATGTATATTGTTGCCTGTGTGTTTGGCTTGCATAGTCTGCAGTGGATGTCTTACAGAACCAATTCTGAGAAAACCTTCTGTACTGTTTATATGAAACAGTCACTGAAACTACTTCTAATATGCCAGAAAAATTGCTGACTCTTTGGATAAAACCAAATAACACTTAATTCTTAAAGAACAAAAGGATTTTTCTCTTTTGTAATCTTGTTTACCTCTTTGCCATTTTAATAGCTGTGGAAGACAGAACACTTGTAAAGCTGTCTGTCAAATAGTTGAGGTATAACCTAAAAGCACCATTTTATATGAGCCAGATTCTTTGTGAAAGTGTTTTACCATCAATACTGCTATGTACCATCTCAGAGCTAATACAGATTTTTTCCCAAAGCTCTTAGTGGTGCTTTGACTTAAAAATGACAGCAATATTTTCTGTCCTTAATTGCAGGTACTGTTCCTGAAAACAAGAGCAGACATGGTTTACACAGCGAATGAAGCTTAAATTCCTGGACCAAAAACTGAGGGCTTGTTTTCATGAAGGATGGCAACACCATATGTTCCTGTTCCTATTCCTATTGGAAGTTCATCATCCAGCTTTACAAACAGAAACCAAAGAAGTTCTTCCTTTGGGAGCATTTCAACAAGTTCAAGCTCCTCAAAAGGACAGCTGGAGGACTCTACAGTTGATAGTTTTAAAAAGATGAGCATGCCTGACCAGATTGGTTCCACATCATCTGCCTGTAGCAGTCCCCTTGTTAGGACTAAATTTACAGGTCTGGATACATCCATAGAATACAGTACTCAGCCTGTAGAAGAAATAGAGCAGAATGAAGATTCCAGGACCTGGGAAGATCGACCATCCACACCTACTATTCTGGGCTATGAGGTGATGGAGGAAAGGGCAAAATTCACTGTAAGTTTTGGGCATAGTAGAGTTGATCCTGTAATGACAAGATAGCAATTGAATGTGCTTTGCATTGTCTTTCATGAATTAATCCTGCAGTTCAGGGATGTTACCAGTTTAGCTTCAAAGTACTTCCTGACAGGAAAATACCATTCTTGTTATACAGGTGGGAAAATAGGGATTAGAAAGCAGTCTTTCCTGCAATTGTGTATGTAGAATAGAAGGAATTAATTCTGTTTCATGTATCAATTTCTGCTGGAAAAGTCAGGAATTCCTTGCAGCTACAATTACTTATGAAATTGAGCTTGTGTAAGTTCTGTGTAATTAAACTTCTTAAGTAAAATGCAGTCTTCTATTTGGCATGAATGATAAGAAACCTTGATGTTAGCCCTTTGTAGTTATAAGTAACTTATAACATTTCTGTTAAAGTGCAAACATGTGGGTTTCAACTTCTTGCCCAGCTCAGTTTCTAGTAAGGGGAAATCTGTTCTGCAAACAGACTAGGAAGTTGCTTATGCCATATCTTGTGCCAGAACAATAGCCTACCTGGTTTGTATTGATTTTTCTCAAAGTGCACTGTAGCTGGCAGTTCATTTTTTTTGCATGCCATAAGTATATCAGTGTACTTCCACATTTCTTTCTGTGCATGTTGTTGAAATATTTCTTTGAGTTTATACAATGGTGCTTGTGGGACTGATGGCTGTTTATTACTGATTATTAATTATATTACTTAAGATGAAAAAATATTAATTAGAAAGAGATAAGGAGAAGGAAATACCGGACAAGCTTTATTTTTCCTCCTGTTTTCTTATAGATTAGAGAAGTGCAGAATCTCTATGACAGTTAAAATAGTAATGAAATCAAGATCTTTTAGCCAAAAGTTGAGTAATGATGCTTTTTAATTGTTTGAGAATGATACCCTCTCTTTTCCTGAGATTTTCAGCTTCTAACATCTTCGTGCATGTTAGCATAAGAGAAGAGCAAAATTTTTTTCACGGGTAAATTTAAAAAATTGTTTTAAATAATAACCTTCAAAACCAAAACAATAATTGATATTGTTATATGTACAAGGATTAATCTGCAAATACCACAGAATCATTTAGGTTGGGAAGAACATCTAAGATCAAGTCCAGCCTTTGGTCATCCCCTTGACAACCAGATGATGGCACAAAGCGCCACATCCACTCATTTCTTGAGCACCTCCAGGGACGGTGCGTTCACAACCTCCCTGGGCAGCTCATTGCAATGTTTAACCACCTTGTCCATGAAGGAATTCTTCCTGATGTTCAACCTGAACCTCCCCTGGCACAGCTTGAGGCCTCTTGCCCTGTCACTGGTTGTCTGGGAAAAGAGACTGACCCCCACCTGGCTACAGCCTCCTTTGAGGCGGTTGTAGGGAGCCTCCTTTTCTCCAGGAAAATGTCCCCAGCTCCCTCAGCCACTCCTCACATGACTTAGCCTCTAGACCTTTCACCAGCTTGTTGCCCTTCTTGTCTTTCCTGAAGACACTGCCAAGACATGATCCAGTGTGCCTGTAAGGTGTTCTGTATTAACAATGGCAACTTTCTCTCATGATTGTATGTGGAAGGCCAGGTCACAGTACAAGTGAAACATTCTTCCATTGTAAAATTCTTGGATCAATTTTTGCTCTTCCTGATTTCACTTCTATTGATGAGCTGGTTTCTGAAACCACACAATTAACTGTTTGTTTTCAGTTGCATGTTCTGCATGCTGTTTGCTCTTGTACATTAAAGCCAGCAAGTAATTAGTCCTTAGAATTTGAGTTGCTTTTGCAGTGCTAAATCAGTGAGATTTAGAAGACAGCGGAAGACAGTGGAAAGCAAATTAAATCACTTGTAAAAGATACGAGACTCAATTGCTGAATTCTTTTTTTACTGTTGGTTGCATCTCATAGTTTCCAAAAATAAGAATCTGATTTGGCTTAATGATGTCCAAGCTTCAGGAGTGAAATGTCACTGCATGTTAGAGTACGTGGTTGCTGAAGCTTATGGGAGAGAAAACCTAGGCTGAAAAATATCTCCTTGTAAACATTTAGTCTTAAATGAATTTGAAGTCCTGGAATATTCAATTAGCACTCTTTTTCTTTTTTTAAAGCCAAGTAGAAATGATAATAAGATGCTGAATCAGCCAGAGAATGTTGCCACATATGGGTGTATTTTCATTGATGATTTTTATTTATAAAATAAAGCAATTCATGATTGCATGCAATAAAATGAATTTGTTGAATTAATTTGTGATTTTTACCCCTGCTTGTATGAAGGAACTGAGAAGTTTTTTTGTAATATTCTAGTTCTTACTTGTTAATTGCAAACCTTAAAGAAAAGCCAAAAAACACCCAACCACCTTTTTTTGAACTCTGACAGGAAAACCAAATATGTTTGTTTCAGGTTGCCCATAATTTTGAGGCTATTTAATCACAAGTTGATTGCACTCCCTGTTACAGTTAAGTTCACTGTAATTGGTGAACTTTTTTTTTTAAAGTTATCTAATGTTCACTTGGAAATTATTCCTTTTTTTCTTATATACATGTTTAAATAATACTTTTGCAGAAGTTATAGTAGAATACAGAATAGAATACTGATTAGCAAGTAAATTTGCACGCATATTCCAAAGTTTCTTGTTCTGTGTTTTACTGTGTACTGGCAGAGTCGTCACAATTTTACATTTATTTATTAATTTCATTTATGAAAATAAAACTGCTTATACTTTTCGTATGACAGTAAAGTAATAAAATATTTGGATAAGCATTTAGACATAAAATGGAAGGCAGAAAAATTATATTTTAATGTTGGTCCTGTAAGCCAGTCCTGCAGCTTGAATTTTAAAAGCTAATAGCTTTTTCCTCTGTCACAGTCCATGACTTCCACAGATGATATGTCTTGAAAGTGAAATTCTGTTTAAAACATAGATAAGAGGAGTACTTGCTGAAAAATTGCTTTTGATTTGCACCATAGTTATCTGTAGTTTCTGTAATTATCTGGAACTTAATATATTGTGGAATACAAAATTGCTAGAAACAGTCTCAGACCTGTACAGAAGTTGGCTAGCACCAGGGTTATCACATGTTGGGACTGCAGTAAGAAAAATACACTTACCAGCTGAGACAACCTGCTGTGACAGCATGAAGTACTGGAGAAGATTTAAGTATGTAACAGATTAGAAAATGTTTTAAATAGAATTTGGTTAAATGAGGGATCATTTATCATTATGATTCTAAAAATACCTTTTTCTTTCTTGTATTATATTTTTTACATAAAGACTGGGGAAAATAACCCAGTACAATTGAAAGAGAGTACCTGTCTTTCCCTGTGTTGGAGAGAGTAAGGTTATGACATTGGACACTGTTTAATGTTTTCTAGTTGAAGTTGTATTGTTAGATTCATTGTGTTCAGATACTGGAATATTAATCCTCCTAGAAAGTAATTGTAGTGTTGTCATCATCATTATCATAATTGTTTTGTTTCTTTTTACCTTTGCTTTTAAATAGGAGTATGGTGCTGCTGTGCTGTTATCTTGCTAAATCTGATTCAAAGTATCCATTACTTCAGTTACACAGTGATTATATCATCGTTCTGGTGCATTTTTCTAGTGAAATCATATTTGCCTGGAAAGACTAAACCTAATGTTCAAGACAAATGCAATGGAGGATGTAATTTTATTCTGCATTGTTTCTCCTTGTGAAACAAGTCAGATGAGACATTTTGAAACAATATCACACACACAGTACCTGTGTTTCAAGATGATTAACAGTCATCTTAAAAATAGAGAGGCCTCCAGGATCAATGAGTGAAACTGTAATTTTGCAAAGGTTAAAGTAGATCACAGAAACACACTTCCCTTACTTTTTTGATAGCTGAGCCTTTTGTTCTGCTTGGCAATACATTCTTTCTTACAGGCAGAAACAGTTATATGTATTTAGGAGTTACAGGAACTCCGTCCTTAAATTCTGAAATCAATTTAAACTCTTTGTACTGATAGTTGCTATTTGCATTTCTTTTACTCCAATTAAGATTTTTTTTATCCACAGGTTTTGTTTCATTAAGAAATAGAAGGTCATTTCAGCCTTCCAGACAATGCAGTGTGAAGTTTTGCACATTTTTCTTATATTTCTATCTTTCCACACAGGTATACAAAATACTGGTGAAAAGAAGTCCAGAGGAAAGCTGGGTGGTGTTCAGACGGTACACAGATTTCTCCAGGCTTAATGACAAGGTGAGAATTATAAACTGGTAAATTCTCAGCTATCTTACCTCACTTCTCTCATGTATTATATTTTTGTCACATCTTCTATTTTTTTCTGATTTTAATGCATATAAAACACATACTGTATTAATAACTGGAAAAATATGATTCCTCATTTTTTCAAAGATACATTAAACAGCTGATGTAAAGAAGATGTAACAGCTTCATCTGAAGCTGTTAGTATGCTTCAAACTTTATATTTATTCCCCCTTTATATGATAAAGGAATTAACTCTTGAATATTTATCCCCTGCATAGAAATAGAACTAGGTGCTTGTATTCTCTTGCAGGAATGATCCAGTAGTATTTAGTTCTTTTCTGTGTAACAAACTCTTGATTTTGTTCATCATAAAACTGAAGTTTCATGAACATAAATATGTTCTTTGTATCTCGGTCAGTCTTCAGTTGTTTTCAGTGTCTTCAAAGTTAAGAGTGAAATACTATATCACATCTTTAAAGATGGAGGAAACACCAGATGAATAGGAATTCTGGGTCAACAACTTAATACTTTTAGAATACTTGAAAGGAAAAAATGCTTCTCTGAAAAGCACAGGTTTTTATGATTGGTAAATAGTGTTCAGCTATCAAAAGTAGAGAAACAATTGCCCTTTGCATTTCCAGTTCAACATGCTTTCTGCTAGAATGTTCTTTCATCTTTCAACATAAACCTTATTTCTTTACCCATTGTGAGGGATTTTTTTGTACAGGTTATCACTTGGGATTTGTGTGCCTGATCAATTAAGAGCTAAACTTAGCTGAAATTTTGAAAACGGACTTGAACTTAAAAATTTCTCTGTGTTCTTGGTTTGACTTATTTGAATATCTTCTAGGCTACCTTTGAAACACCAGTGGTGTCTAAAACTAAACTGGTAAATGTGAATTAGTTAAGAGGTTTCTTTCTGAAGCAATTCCTGTCTTAAGTATAGTCTGTCTTAAATTAAGGAATGTCTTGTTATTGGCAAAAGCCTGACTTCTTTTGAGACAATGATCTTGGCATTTCAACTCAGATTTTGGAAGTCAAGTCATACAGCAGTTTGCATTTTGAACAGCTGTGTCAGGTATAGGTCAAGAATTGGCTTACCTCCGTTGACTTAATGTGGCTGTCAGTGGTTTGAAAAATCAAAATGCTGAAATATCTATTAGAATAAATACTTAAATTTTTACTCATAAAGCCCTTAGTCTTTGCCATCAAATGTTTAGCAAAAATATTTGGCTTTTACCATTATTTCTAGGTATTAGTATTTCTGTTTAAAGGAAAAATCTCTATTTTTTAAGATTTGTGTCACTGTCAGAAGTTTTTTCACCTCTCAGTATGCATCCAAACCATTTACTCTTTGGTCTGTAAGACATTTTATAATGTAGAAATATCAGCTCTAGGAGCTTAAACATACCACCATTCAGGAAATAGTAGAGAATTACAAAATAGTAACATATTAATAGTTTGAAAACACATGATGAAATGGCCATGCTTAAGAACAAAGAAGTTCACCATTTCTCCTCCAGACTGTGACTCATGTGACGTGTAATGTGTCACATGGTGATGTAGGAGGGAGTAGGAAAGGTGCTGGATCCAAGCAAGCAATCATGGCCAGAATAAGTTGTCAGATCCATGGGTTTTCCTGCTGTGTCTGAGGAGCACTCAAGAAAGAATGCTCCAGGACTGTGCTGTTGAAAATTAGTCCACTGACAGCAGCTGGGTCTTACCTTCTTCATCCACAACAGGAATAATCTGTGGGTAGGTGTATTCCCTCCTTAGAATTAAGCAACGTGATCCATGTGAACAGACAAGTAAAAGTACCATTAAGCAAAATCTGTGTGGTTGTGCCATTTCCCAGCAATGGTTGTCTGCACTCTTCTGTACAACTAACAGGAACTCATTTTGTTACATTCAGTGGGTTCTGTCCTATTCAGATATATTCTTATATATATGAAATTAATGAGAGCTTGGTAGAAGATGAAGGAACTTTGGAGGACCAAATATAAAGATTTAAAGAAGGGTCTAATATCAAGATGAAATTCAGTAACAGAAAAACATACTTAAATAATTCAATTCAGAAATAAAGAGCAAGGCTTTGACAATAAACCATTCTGTAAATAAGGAACCAGAATTTATCATGGGCTATTTGAATAAACAATATTCGTGATGTTTAAAAAGCGCCTCATGCTGTGAAACAATAGTTACATAAGCAAAGGCGATCCATTAGTGTGGTTCTTCCTTCTAAGTGTGTAGAGAGATTCTCATTGAAGTGCAGTATCTGTTGTAAATTTTCTAAAACTTAATCTGGTGAAAGAGCTGTCCATTAGAATTTTCTATCACTGCAACATTCATATTAATATAAGCAGTGTACGCTGAACGTCTCTGACAGAAGCTGGCTAGATCCTGTATTCAGAAAAAATGATGAAACAATTCTTGTGGCAGCTGAGATATCAAATTTTATAAAACCTATTTGCTTTTTCATGTTGGTTGTAAATCCTCTGCCAGATTTTTCTTTGTCAAGCATAACTTTGAAAAATTGTTTCTTATCAAAAAGTTAAAGTATTTTTTATTATCACACATATTAGAAGAATAATTGGCACTCTTGGAGAGGTTCATTGTTATATGCTTTCATTCACTTGTATGTTTTATTTCTGAATTCAAAGAAAAAATCTGGGTATTTCTGATGTCAACTATACCCCGTTGCTATTTAAGGAACTGAGAAATGCAGTTTCTACTAGGGGTTGAGCCATACTTGCATATTGAAATTTTATTATTCTGTGTGTAAAAAAAACTACTCTTTACAAGAAATATCTCATGTGTTGTAATTTATTCTTCTAGCCCCCCAAGAAAGACAAGTTGCAGAGTTGTACATCTCTAATGGGGTTTTATTCTATATATGTGTATATGTAGTAGTTTTTATCCCTGAGTACATTAAAAGAAATACCACTGAAATTATTTTTCATTGATACTTTTTTTTTACAGTTTTCTTATATGTACAGACTCAAAGGTTTTAAATAGCAGACTCAGACATTAAATAACAAAGCAAAGGTTTTCATTCCTATTTTTATGTGTTAAATTTGAGGAAAAATACAAAGCACTCTACTGCATAAGGCAGCAAGTGACAGAACTGTGTCCGCAATTTAAGTTGTAATTTTGATTTTCCTTATGGTTGAGACTTGTCTTGTGCTTGAACTTTACCAGAAGTCAGAAATGTCTTATAAATCTTGAGTAAAGTCAGTGCCTGTGGCAAAATTAGTATTTTTCTCAAATTTTTTCTTTTTTTGTCTTTAATTTCAATTCCAGCTAAAAGATATGTTTCCAGGCTTTCGGTTGGCCCTTCCACCAAAGCGCTGGTTCAAGGATAATTACAATCCTGACTTCTTGGAAGATCGACAGCTGGGGTTGCAGGCATTCCTCCAGAACCTAGTAGCTCACAAAGATATTGCTAACTGGTAGGTGATTAACCTTTGCTTGTTCATTTGTGGCTTTATTTCTGTCCATACTCCTCTTATAGAACTCCTAGACTCCAGCAGTGTACCTTCAGGCAGTGTGGTGAGGGATTTCAGTAACATTAATGCTGTGCATTTGATCATTATGTCAATTAAGCAGTGTCCTTCTAAATTAGTCCCATCTTAGCATAAAAAAGTGGAACTGCAGTATTTTGTACAGGGATAACTAAAAGCTGTAATATTTAAAATGTTAGAATAATCCCGTGTTTATTCCTAAAATATTATTTCTCTGTCTTTAATGCAGAATTGATAATATTGTTAATTTATACTAGGCATGTTAGGCTTTCATAATGTAGAGTACCTACACTATTATGCAATTAGTTCTTAAAATGTGTATTAAACTAGAGGTTTTTATTGACATGACATGAAAGGAATTTACAGATTCCTGTACATAAGTAAATGTAAACCACAAATCAAAAAAGTCTCAATAGTTTAAAAAACATAATGTGTTTAGGCCAGCAAAGTGCAAAGATTTCTTTCAACAGTGTCTTTTTTTGTACAAAGTGGGAGATTCTTCCAAAGCAGGAAAATGAATAGAACGTAATTCTGACAAATGAACTGTAAAATAATTTTATTATGGACAAGAAGAGAATTTAAGTAAGTAACTTGCTAGGGGCAAAGCAGTTACTTTTAAAACCTTTGCCAGCATCAGAATTAAAAAAGATTTTAAGGTTGCTGTACTAGAGATTCTTTGAGGAATGAGTCTGAGAACCTGTCATCATCTGAAACTTCATTCAAAACAAAGAGTAAAAAATGTTCTAAAGCAAACCTAATTCCCTCAAGACTTTTAAAGGAACAAAATTTTAAAATTGCCAAGATGTGGTGTGGGACTGTGAGACCATATAGTGCTCATAGCTACTTAACTTTTTAGTAGAAGGGGTACTACTACATTTGACATGTTTTTATAAAGCATTTGACTGCTGAGTCTGGAAAATAGGGATTTGTACATCAGTCTGACTTTGGTACTGCTTGTAGTAAAAAAAACCAAAACCAATGTGGTAAGCAGGGAAATAAAAATGGTATAATGTCTTCTGTAGAGACAAACGAGTAGTTATGACAGGGCTCATATAAAATAGTTAAAAGACAAGGGGGAAAGGATTAATGGTAATTTAGGGGTGGTAGCAGTGGAATGTGTTAGATTGCAGTTGTGGACACTGATGTTCAGGACATTTTGAAATTATCTGGAGAATGGAATGAACAATGAGATCACAAACTATTGTAGAAGGATCCCGAGTACTGAGTGACTTACATCAATTTTTGTGTCTTGAAGTAGAAAGTGACAGTAAGTACACCCATACAGATTTATGAATGCAGCTGGTTTTGCAACTTGGAAAATAACTATTGGTAATGATACCACTAGTTTTCTCAATCAGTTCAGTACTCAGCAATAGTCAAAAAGTTTCATTGAAATCATTAGAGGAACTTAAAAGGGGAAAAAGAAGTTATTGTTCTGGGAATCTGAACTGTACTTCCACATAGTTCAGTGCCAAAACACAGCATTCCATCTCAAAGGAGGTGTCTGTTAGAGGTACAAAGAAAGCAAGGAAGAGCAGAGGAAGCTGCAGAAAAACTTCCCTGCAAGAAGTGTTCTCTTTAGTCTGTTGTGTTAGGTGAGCAAACAGGGTGTGTGAAATCATCAAAGGGGAGAGGGAAGGTGAGTAAGGAATTTTAATATTTTGATGATTCATAGTCATCCTGGAGTATGTCATGCTGAGTGGCAAAGCTTTGTTGTGAGATGTCAGAGACAAAGCTTAATAGGTTTAAAAAAGAAATGGGGCTCAACTTATGAGTTTCTGTGTAAGTAGCTATTAAATATGATTATATGGGTGAGGTATGCAGCTGAGAAGTTTAAAAACTTCCTAATAATTAAATTGCATAATAATAGGTGTGCTAAAAAGAATCAATCTCATCCCTAAATGTAACTTCAGTTATGCTCCTGGAGACACACTAGTGAATGGAATGGACTTGCTTAAATAGATCTGAAGTCTTTCTGCTTCATATTGTTGCAGCTAGTTCAGCATTTCAGCTGGCTTGTTTGTATCTTAGTGATGGACCATATTGGATAGAATAGTGTTTGTCATAGTTTAAGGCAAAAAATTCCAAACTCAAACTTTTAGACTGTGTTGGTTATCAGATACAAAAAGGAATTAAAATGTTTGTGGAATCAGTTTGTCTTTTGGCTAATGAAGAGATGCTGAAATTTGGTTTCTAGAACTTTTGTCTGTGTAGGGCTCTGCATGAAGACAAAATTTATTAAAAAAAAATTTATAACCTATTGATATGGTTCTAAGGTTTGTGGAAGGTGTGAATTCTTCAAGAAGTGATTAAAATGAAGGAGATTTGACCATCTAATATATTTACCCACTTATCAGAGAATAAATTTACTATTAATGGGAATTAATACTTGTACCTCACATGAGCAGTGGTGAGCATTTCACCCTGTTTTTTTCCTTTAAAACTCACCATTTACTTCTCCAGTTTTGCAAGTAAGTCAAACTGCTTGAGTCAGACCTAAACCAAAAAAGCCTTTTTTCTTTGTAGAGAAGTCTGGTTTACTTCTCTTCATACTTTATGTACTGTATTCACAGTGGGAAATTTGCCCTTCAGGGATAGGAGACCTCATTTGGTATACCTACTTTTAATAAAACTACATTCACAAAGTATTTTAAAAATAAAATGGAGGATAATATATGCAGGTGGCTAAATTTTTGTGTTTTATAGACTTCTTCTCTTGTTTTATGTTGTATTGAAGATTCAGTGAAAGATCAAATTGAAGTCCACCCACAGAGTTAAATAGTGGTCAGGAAAATTTCATACAACTGGTGAAGTGGGTGAAAGAAGTTTAACCTGCTAAACAGAATCTGGCTTTATATAGATGACAGAGCTGTCCTGTCTCCACCCTGTGTAAGAAGCTTGGAAGGGAGGAACTCTGCCAGCTTGGAGTCAGTGATCCCATGTGCTGCACTGCCCCTTGCTGCCCTCCCTAGTGCTGGCACTGCTCCTCCTTGGAGAGGGATGGCAGCCAGCACGTGTGTACAGCAGCTCTGTCACAGGACAGAAAAGATCCCTGGGGTACTTTAAAGGCAGAATCTTCATTCATGAAGTGAAAGGAAGAGGTGTAACACATGGAGAGGAGAGCAGGGTCAGAGCAGGCTCTCAGAGCAAAGCTAGGCTGTGAATAAATGTTCATGCCATCAGGTGCCTATTTTAGGTAAAGAAACAACAAAGTAAATGTTCAGTGTATTTTAGATAAATATTCTTTAGAGTCTTCTTAAAACTAAAAGTGATAGTATAATGAATGATTATTGTTTGAAGAAGTTTCTGCTCATTTTGGTTGCCAACCTGAAGCTGATTGATTAGGATGGTAGCTGGATGAAAGTTTCCTTTCTTGTGTTTGTGCTTTGTGAAAACCTCAAGTGCAGAGAATAAGTGGAAAGCAGAAAATTACTGCCTTTTGCCCTCACATTTTCCATGGGGCCCAGGTGGGAAGAAGAGACAGAAAATTAATTTTGGATTCCCATTTTTCATTTTTGTGCACTCATTGCAGTAGGAGATGATTTAAAGATTTATAGTAGAGAGTGTAAGCACAGCATTGCTCCTAAGTTACTACTTGCTAATTGATCATGAATACAGTGTTCTAATTTGAGATTCCTTAAAGAAGAATGAATTGAACTGAACAGGAAAGTCTTAAAAAGGTGGCTGAAGGGACATGTTTGGAGATATTTAGGAGTTCTGTGAAAAGTAATCTAAATTTGGAAGACAGAATGAGACAGATGCTTAAAATACTCTGTAGTAAACCGCAGGATTACACCTACTTCTTTCTTCTGGTCTTTGCAAAACAACACACAGAGGGGGATGGTAACTGTTACACAAATCCAAATGGAATGCATTAGTTTGAAATGTGTATTCAGAGATGGCTATACAGTAGATCAATGGTACACTGTCTTCTATTCTTTTATAACTTTTTTATATAAAAATACACACTGTACATATATAAATTATATCATGTGTATATGTCAGTGGATTATGATCTTAGCAAAAGGGAGACAGCTGAAAATATTTCAGTGCTCATAGTTAAATCCCCTGATACTACCTGAAGGTATCTGCATACTTTTCATCCATTGCATAATACTAATTTTATATTACTTACTTTTCTCCAGGAGAATTTTTCAAACTTCTTCAATACCAAAGTGATAAACTTGCCAATTGTCATGTAGCTACAAATTCAATGAAAATTTTTTAAAAATCATAAAAAATCATGTTTTAAAATTGCTTATTCATCCTCATAAGTTGCATTCTAAATACTGTCCCTGGTCAACACATACAACTGCGACTTAATAGTTTGTTAACCATTTATTTGTTAATTGTTGTGAATACCTGGGAGTATATTTGAGGATGTAAATTTTGTGTCACTTAAAGAAATACCTCCATTTTGTAATCATTTTTAAGTGTTTTTGCTGGTTTTGTACTTCCGGTAATTCACTCTCTTTTATTTGGTAAAGCCTTGCAGTGAGAGAATTTCTTTGTCTGGATGATCCTCCGGGTCCTTTTGACAGTCTAGAAGAGAGCAGGGTAAGTAGGATAGAAACAGAATGCAAAAAGCAGGTATTTTTTGAATATTGTAAGATCTGTATAATGATACAGAATGAAACACTTCTGTTTCTGTTCTTTCACAAAAATCACAAAATTATGTGTTTCTGGAATGGGCGAAATCTGATAAATGGTGCACACTGATTGTCTTTGACTGCTGTACTTCATCCCTATCCCATAATATAGCTTTGGTTTTGCCTTTTTTGTGTCATAGATGAAGTTTGCTTTGTAAAACTTACTCTATTCTCTTAGAAATAAATTTTAGTGATATGAAGAGCAGTATCAAGGTTGTCTAGAGCAGATGACCTTACTTTATAAAACAATTGTGTTTTCGAATTGTACATACATTGTTAGTCTTGCAGAAATTATAAATTTAGTTGAATGAGCATCATTTAACATTCATATTTGCCAGTTTGTTTGTTTTGCATGTTTGTAGGATTGCCTTGGTTCTTGTTACATTGCTATTGCATGTGAAAGATTTGGTATGTTTTTGTCACAAGCTCATATTTGATTTCCATACAATCCCTTTTCATCACTGATATTTAAGCTGATGATTTTTTTTAATTACCATAATTATTTGTTCAAATAATTTAAAAAATTTAAGTGCCTTCTTCATTGAAATTTCAGCTGTGCATGCTGTGGTGAAATCTGTGTTATTCTTCCACTGGAATTTAATCAAACCATTAAAATAGCTGTGCTGTTGTAGTTTTAGCTATTACCCATTTCTGTGAAGTTGTTGAGACAGCTGTTATAAAATTCTCCAAGAGATACCACACCTTTATGGAGTGACTGGGGTTGAAAGGGACTTCTTGGATCACCTATTCCAGCCTTCCTGGCTCAAGTGAGGTCAGCTACTGCAGGTTGCTCAGGTCCATGTCCAGTCAGGTTTTTAATGTTCTACAGAGGAGACTTCACAGCCTTTCTGTCCAGCCTGCTCCAGTGGCTGACCACCAGCACAGCAAAAAGGTGCAGCCTCTCAGGTCTCATGGACATTAGTGTATCCATTTTGTTTAAGTGCTCCCTGATCTGCTCTTCCCCTATTGCAGGTGAGTTTGTCTTGACCTTCCTTCTGGCTGCAGGGAAAGAATTACTCAATGCTGTTTTTTCCAATCAACACAAGAAGTCCGTGGTTTCCCATCTTTCTTTTGTTGATGATGCACTTGTAGAATGCTTTTTTTTGTTTCTTTTCACATGCCTTGCCAGATTCAGCTCCAGGTTGTCCTTCACTTTCATAATCCCGTCCCTGTAAGATTAGACAGCAGCCCTTATATTACTCCTGTGTCATCTCTCCATGCTTTCACCCCTAGTAGAGTTGCTTTTTATGTCTGAGCTCAGGAGACCCTTGCTCATCTACACAGGCCACCTGCAGCCTTTGCTTGTTAAGCTGTATTTACTGACCCTGCAGGTGGTGATCCTTAAATATCAGCTAGCTCTCCTGGACTGCTCTTAGCTCCAGGGTGTTTTCCCATGGATTCTTTTGTCCAAGCAGCTTTCTGAAGAGATTTGAAGTTGGCTCAGCCTGAAATCCATGGTTGTGGCCATGCTTTTTGTCTTGCTTCTGATTGTTAGGAGAAATCCTAAATTCCTGCATACTAAAAGCATCTATATCCATCCTTACTGTTTGTTGCTTTTTTTTTCTTTCCCTGAACTGCCTTATACAGGAAAAGCACTGAGGTTCGTGTACTTATTCCTGGAGTTCATTTTTAAAGATATCTCAAAACTTACTTCTGTTTTGCCTTTCTATTGCCATCCAAAGCATTGCAGAAAAAAAATCTTCTGTTTTCCTGATATGGAAAATATGGATATCTTCTATTTGGTTTACGTCTATTCTGTTATCCCAAAGACTTGCCAAAACACATTTATCTTTTCCAGGTGAGAGATACAGGTACCTGCTCCATTAGAAGCTGATTAGGCCAAGAAATTTAATCACAGAAAAGTAGGCAAAATATTCACTAATCTTTTTTTTTGTCATATCCTTGGTAGTTGTTTCCACAGATCTTTTCTCAGCCATCTCTGTTTCATGATCTGAAGAAGGAAGCAAAGCTGTCTCCTGGTTGTCCTTTCAGAAATTCAGGAATAATTAGTCCAACCTGGGGTATTAAAACTGTTCCAGGCTCCAGGTGTCCAGCTGTCTAAAGAACAAGACAGCTCATTACACACTGTTCCCTTTCTCAGTTTTGGTTCACTTTTCTGCTATTATAGCATCCTTCAGAATATATTGCTATTTTCTTACCCTGTTTCAAACAGTGCCTGTGTTTGCTTGGACAGCTCATACCCAGATTGCAGATATCTCAATGAGTTTTTTCCAAAGGCTTTATTCAGTTCTCAGAACACTGAAACAGTTTTCAACACTTATGCAATATTTTTATCTATTTTGTGTATAGGGTAATTTCCATGTGCGTACATCTAAAGGTTGAAATAATAAACTTAATTATATTCTTAAGGAAATAATGTCTAATTTTCAGTTAGGGTATCAGCAACCTTGAATATTTTTACCAAGAGCAGAAAAATTTACTTAATTGGCTTTGCTGAAATGGGATGACTGCTTAACCACAGTGATAGCTAAAGCAATCACTATAAATGCTGTGTCAAGAGTGAGTTGCATGACACATGCTCTTGGCTCTAGTAGATACGAATAAAGCTATTGCTTAACTCGTGACTGGTCTTCAAGTGCCTGTCAACAAAGATAAATTTGCTGTCTGAGTCAATAAAAAAAACTAAAATTCCATGGAAAAAAACAGGGTTATTGAATTGAAAACTCCTCATTTCTTTGTATTGTATAATTACAGGAAAACTTAATATTTTAAAGATGAGTCTGCTTCAGTTAAAGCAAAGGATAGAATATTCTTGATGTTTGTAGCCTGTTTTAAAACTCTAGGACAAACAGTATCTTAACAGGATTATTCCTAACCGAGCTCATATTAAATGTTTATATTCAGCAGACTCTGAGTTAGTGGTTAGTTGCTGGTAATATCAAGCCAAGAAAGCCTCCCACGTGGGGCTCTTATTTATAGAGCACATGTAAATTATTAAATCAGAATTGCACATTACTGTTGGAAGGTTTGTGCTTTCCAGTAATAGATGAGGAGGCTCTGTGCCAGCTCTTCTGTCACTTCCTGCATTGGGAGGATGTTGCATTAGACACGGGCTCCTCACGTTGGGTTTTATGATTGCTCACTGACAGATCCATCAGGCTGTGTGATACAGACATGCCATGCTCAGCAGGGGAGCCCAGCATATTTGTCATGGCTGAGTAGTTAGTGTTCACAGCATCCTATTAAACATTTTCAAAATATTTTTTTACTGGTCTTCTGATTGTCATGATTTCATATTTGTCACAGGTTTTTGGTACAGAACTGTACAGCTTTGTCTTTGTCCTGGTAAGGAAAGAATATGTACTTAATCCAAATATTCTTCGCATCCTGGAAATATATAGGTACTTTGAAACTGACTTCCAAGTTATGTGGAAACAAAACTTATGAGGAGAAAAGGAAGCAGGGAGTTCAGTTTATGTTCCATATAGGCAAAAAGGTTCTAAATCAGAACCTACTCTTCTGGTGTCTCTCTCATTGTGAGACAAACAAACGATATTGATGGTGGTCATACAACTGACACCAAAATTGGAGGCAAGCATCAGCACTTCATTACCCTACAGTAAAATTCATACCTTTCCTCTCTGAATTCCCACAGACAGCAACACCAACTCCTTCCTCTCTCCATGACCTGCCAACCCGCTCTTTTATAACACACATCCCTATTGGACACAGCTGCAACCTATTAAGGGCAAGGCTGCTTCTACTCTTTGGTAATTAGTAAAGCTGCAATTCATCAGGGAGAGGCTGCCCACAGCACCATCTCCATTCTCTTATAATCCATTCTCCCACGTGATATGATTAAAGTATTTGCATTGCAGTTTAGCATAATAAATTCATCATTCAAAGCAGCATTATTAAGATAAGAATTTTTTTTTATTTACATAGCTTTTTAAGGTAATCAATCTGAAGACAAGCAGCTATAATACTGTTACAGGTTGATATTTCTAAGAGAAAAGTCAATAAAGGCAGTCCACTGAAGTTAAATTGAAGATGCACTTAAATTTGTCTTTTAGGCTTTCTGTGAAACTCTGGAGGAAACAAATTATCGCCTACAAAAAGAACTGCTTGAAAAACAAAGGGAGGTTGAATCACTGAAGAAATTATTAACAGAAAAGCAACTTCATATTGATGCTGTTGAAAGAAGAATTAGGTATGTAGAAATGTTAAGGGTTTTAGGAAGTTATCTCCATGAAAGCATTTTCTCTATCTAGTTACAAGTACCAGCTTTAGCTGTATCTTGGAAACCATTTTCCCTACATAACCACATACAAAGCAATATTTTCTGTAAGCTCTTTCTCATATGCTGGCTAAAAGCTATTTAGTACAAATGACTGAGAAGCTTGTCCTATCTTTTCCCTCTAAAGTAACTGTGATTGTTTCCTAATCCTTTAAGTCCTGTAAAGATAGAGCAAGATTTTGTTCTGCTTTTGAAATGTTGAAAATGTAAAATGCCCTGCTAGAGATGAGTGGGAAAATTGCTTTGATTTGTAAAATTCTGTCTGTACTCAAAGCTTTGACAGAGCATAGTGATCAAGCAGTTGTATATCTATAATAGTTTAATTTTGTTCTGAATTGCTTGGAATGAGATGCTGCAGGTACCATTTAAATAGCATGGGAGATTGTCCACTTAAACCCAAGGGAAAGCAGTACATATCTGCTAAATTCTGTAACAGGAGCTGAGGAATTGATGTGCTATCCAGTGTCCCATTAGAGCTGCTGAGTCAGTACTGCAGCATTTCCTTAGCAAAAGAGTGAATTCCTATGGTCCCATTAGAACTTCGCAGAATCATAGGATTATTTAGGAACCTTAAAGATCATCCAGTTTCTGCTAGACCAGGTAGTTCAAGGCCCCATACAACCTAGCCTTGAACACTTTCAGGGATAGAGCAGTCACTTGTCTGGGCAACTTGTTCCAGTGCCTCCGACCCTCATGGTAAAGAATCTCTTCCTAACATGAGATCAGGTGAAAAAAACATTCCCTCTGCATGTGTGTCAGACCGTGAAGGAGGCAGTGAAGAAATTTATTAAAAAAAAATTAAAATAACTTTTATTTTAATACTGGCTGGGTTGCTGAGTCCAGCATATCCAGGTTGACTAACAAATCACACCTTAAAATGTTTCAGGGAACTACCTTTGAAAAAGGCTTTAAATGCAATTATTATAGCTGACTGAAAATTCTGATCAGAATACCATATTCAGTTTGTTGCTTACTCCTGAAGGCAAGTAATTACATTTCAAAGATCCCTGTTTGATAACAAAGTTTTGACATGCTGCTGCCTTAAATAGTGAAATAGTCAGGAAAAGTTAAATAACTTGCATTTGGCTAAAACATCATGATAGGGACTTCTGTGTGCCAGAAAATAAAAAGGTTTGAATAGCAAACAGGGACTTGATATTTTAATGTTTTCCCTGAAGATAGATTGTTTTTTAAATACTCAAACACACTGCTAATTTCCCAGACATATAAAATTAGTAAAAGACAGCCACATAGTGTCTGACGTCTTGATGAAAAATAACTTCTGTGACTTCTGGCTGTAAAAAAAAAAACAAAAAAAACAAAAAAAAACCCAAGTTTTTTCAGTAAAGAACTTCAGCTTGTCTGATAGTAAATGAACCCAAAAGAAATGTGTCTGTCTTTGGCCTTGTTGAAGTAGAATTTTTATTTGATGGCCTAACAAGAATTAAGCACCTTATGCCTACACGCTCTAAAGGCCAGGTACCTACAATGGATGTGAGGCAGAAGGGGACAGCTAGACAAGTCCTGTGACTTGCAGGATTTTATGTTTTTTTCTGGATTTGGCTCAAACATAGGCTGGTAGTCATGTTACAGAATGCTGTTAAGCCTTTACATAAAATGCATGCATTAAAATAAAATAACAGTAGTTAGAGCAATTTTAAAAGGGAAAGAAATATAGTAGTATAACTTTAAACACAAAATGGATCACAAGCTTTTGTTTCCAATTCAATGCTAAATTGATGTATGATTTCCACATAGAGAATTGGTTTGGAAAAAAGGATTTCTTTGGTCAATCTATGTGACCATATTCCCATTTGTAGCTAAGCTAGCTGGACCATTATCTTGTGTTGCCATTAAGAAAAAAATTGTCTTTATCACTAATGGAAAAATGTATTGCTTTGAAACTTAGTATGTGGTTTTGTAAAGTTACAGTGAGAAACTTGAGAAACTATTGAAGAAATCTTCTTGTCATCCTCCTGTCTTCCTTTTGACTATATTTTGATTATAGTCCTTCTGCTGTTTAGGCAAGACATGTGTGGCTTAGTCTGAATGTAATTTTTTACCTTAAGTCATACACACTTCTCTGGGACTTGAATTTTGTGAAGTTACTAAATTGTCATGCAACCAGAGAATGATGAAATGGCCTGGGTTGGAAGGGACCTGAAAGAGGATGTAATTCCCAACCCCCTGCCATGAACAAGGACACCTTCCACTAGACCAGATTGCTCAGAGCTCCATCCAGCCTGGCCTTGAGCGCTTCAAGGGATGGGGCATCCTCAACTTCTCTGGGCAGCCCATTCCAGTGCCTCAGCACCATCACAATAAAGATTCTTTTCCCTAATATCCAATCTGAACCTACCCTCTTTCAGTTCAGAGCCATTGTCCCTTGGGGAAGAGTCCTGTCACTACAGGCTCTTGTAAAAAGTCTCTCTGCATCTTTCTTTTAGGTTCCTTTGAGGTACTGGAAGGCTGCAATTAGATCACCACAAAGCCTTCTCTTTTCCAGGCTGAACAATCCCAGTTCTCTGAGTCTTTCCTCATAGGAAAGGTTCTCCATCTCTCTAATCATCTTGGTGGCTCAGAGATGTAGAGGCCTGAATTTAGTTCAGGAATAAGCAGCTGGAGCAAATAAACTGTTTAAATAGTACTAGTCAAAGAAATGGGGCATGCAGGAGTGAGATTGAAAGGTTACTTTCAATCTTTTTGCAGAAACTGCCAGGGCTAAAATGAAACAAACAGTTCTTCAGTGACAAATGTTTGCTGTATGGATTGGTGGTACTCTGTTCTTATCTGTTGTAGGGATTTATCTTTAGGAAAAATGACTCGTCAAATGTCAGGAGAAGAAAGTGAGTGCAGTGGTGAGGTGGAGTCTTCTGCAGTAGAAGCAGACCAGGGTACCCTGGGTGAGGACAGCTGGTAAATACTATTATTTTACTTGTATTTTAGTTATTCTTAAAGTATGTGTTTTCAAATGTTTAGTCTTGCATTAAATCTGTGCAGCTGAGAAATTCAGCATTTTACTGCACCTCTCTGCTGCATTAAGCCCCTCAGGATAGATAATTTTAGATCTGGAATAAGAGATAAGTTAAAAAAGCAATGTTTTGTGTATTGTCTGCCTAAAATGGCTTTAGAAAATCATACCAGTTTCCATTTATTGATCTGTCTTTGCAGCTCAGACAAAGAGAACCATGAGCCATGCTGGAGTGGCTCTTTGGCTGGAAATTCTGTCCCAGAAATTGAAGTTGCTGAAGTAGCCTATACCACGGATGAAGAATAGCTGAGCAGCAGTGGCTGTTACCTGGGAAAGGTTCATGTTAAGGGTGTATCTGTGGGTAGGATCATAGAGGAGCTGTGAAGAATTCACAGCAAAGAGCAAGAATGCACATATTGAATGTTTACATAAATCCTTACAAATTATTAATGTAAGAAATATATCCAGTGCTGCTTTGATTTCAGTTTTTATCTAGCCTTTATATATTTAATATATTGAAGTCTAATAAGGGCTAAAATCAGCTAAAGTTTAGATAGTGTATATACTCAATTTGGCTGACTTTCCTAGCAGAATGACAAAAGTTTCACAGTAAATCATGGAACACATCTAACTCATATGTCATATATTGCCACTGTTGTGACACATTTGATGTGTTCATCTGTTTGGTATTTGTGTTTTCTTATAGCCATAAAATAATGCTTGCTGAAGTGAAAATGGACTCATTTGTGTATAGGAATGGAGAATGTGTTGGTTTTACATTCTAAAGTTGAAGAAAGTTTCTCTGGAAGTTTTATGCAATGCAATAGGAGAACTTCCAGTACCAAGAGCAAAGTAGTTACACGATGGAATCATAGTTGGACATTGTAAAATGGTCATTTTTGCTGAAAGAACTGATCTGAGACCCCCAAAACACTGTGTATTTTCATCCCAAGATAGCATGCTGTAATACTTTTTGTTCAGTAATGCTGCTTTGAAAATCTGGGATACCTTTGTTATATACATGTAACACGTAACAACAAAATCTGTAAATTTGCCTTTTACTCAGAACACTACCTCTTACCACCTTGCTAATGCATTCATGTTTGTTTAAAAATATTCCAGATTATATGGAGGCTATTGAAAGACTTGTAAAGAAGCCATATTTTTTCCTGCACAGTTCATAACTAGATTGAATCTAGTCGCAGTGTATTTTTGTTTCAATATATTGTACACATGGGGATGTTGGTACCTATGTTGTATAGCCTATTTTTCAAAATGTATTAAGACAGGAGATGCACTTTATAATTAAGACTCCATTGTGCCAAGTTCAGTTGGCTAATTAGTTGAGAAATGGGAGTTGCAGCGAGAGGATTATGTAGTGCCTTTTTGTATTTTACTTGTTCATTACTGCATAATTTTGTTACAGTGCTCTGGGTCAGTTCTGTGGAATCTTTGATACAGCATTTTTCTGTTCTTCCCTTATTTACTGAAAGTGCCTTGTTTTATTATGCTTTTCCAATAGAAAGAATGCTGTTCTGTTTTAATTTTTTTTTTCCCCTATACCACCCACATTGTTGTTTAATGTTGTCAATATGCAATGTCTTTGTGCTGGAGTTTTCAAAGGGAGCTTTGTACTTCAGGCTATGCATACAATGACCTTTATGCAGAACTGTATAAACCTTCCTGGTGAAATAAAACTACGGACAAAACACCTGTCTTCTTTTTTGCATTGTAGAAAAAACAAACATTTAATCCCTTGTCAAGTAGGATCAAATACTGCTAGAATGAGACATTTCTTACCTCAGAGATTTCCTGCACTTACTCAGCCTTGGTCTGAATCCTATTTTTACCAAAAGTTGTCTGCATGAAAATTAATGAGAATTCTGTGACACCAGAAACCTCACTGTACTTCTGTTGAAGGTAAAAGTAAAAGAGGAACTGATTTTTTTTTTTTTAATATCCTACGTAAATCCTCACAGATGTTGAGTGAACTCAATAAACTTCTGGCACATTATTGAAAATATATGAAATCTTGTGTCAGTTGTCACTTATATATTTGAGAAGATTGAACTTTGTGTATTAAAATATTGTTAGGTTTGCAACTATAAAGATTTTAAAAATATTGAAAAGGTGCTTGGGTCATACATGCCTGGGATTTCTTAAGTACGGGAGGTAAATTTGCAAATCTAGACATTAAAGAAAGCATTAATATAATCTACAGTATAGTCATGAGAGGGCAAAAGGAATGAAAACCTCAAGATTTAAAAGATACTTTGCTAACCCAAAGTATTTAGTATCCTATGAACAGACATTTTGGTTTAGGGGGACCTTGTAACTAAACTGAGCTGGAAAAAGTGAATTTGTTCACCGGCAGTGTGGTATCACTTCAGCTGTGTTACTGGTTAATGAATGGTTATCCTCCCTAAGGACATGCAGAATTTGAGGTGGGCAGCCCATTGTGGCCTTGAACATCTTGATCAAGGTTTATTCCAAGTCAATCCCATAGTGAAGTTTTTTCTGCTGCATAACTTGCATCCATTCTGGCACTATTTTCCATGTGTTTCTTTCTTTGTTCACTCACTGCTGCAATTTCAGTACAGAAGAAGCCAAGTTTCCAATATTTCATTTGTAAGAATTGACAGTGGAGTTTTGTGCCCTGCTGAAAGTGCAGAGAAATATTCAAACTGGAATTGTAGCAGTGAGCTAGTTACAAGAATAACAACCAGTAACAGGTTGTTCTTTTCTGCTATAGGTGATTGCCTTAATAGCTCAGCCACTGATGTACAACAGGCTTTTTCCCTTTGTTTTAGATTTTATTACATAGTGGGTAGTTTAATCTTACTGGGTCCTTGCTTTTTTTAGTACTGCATCTTTTAATCCTGCAGGACTTTTTATCCACCAAAGCACATGCAGTCTGCCCACACCACTTCTCTGCTTTTGATTTGTGTACTGCTAAATCAATTAAAATGCTGAGTAGTATTTAATCAAGAATGAGTCCCTATAAACTCCCACTCCATACCTTTCCCACTGACAACCATTAACAGGGTGTAGAACATACAACACAACAGTGTACAGTTTTACAATTCAAGTGAAAAGGGACCAGGAAAGTTCCTGTTCTAGATGGTATGTCTGCCCCAGATGGGTTTTACTCTCTGCAGCTCATTAGAACACTAAGTAATTTGACTTTTTTTGTCTGCAGTTTCTATTCCTTTTTTGAAATGTAGCTACAAAGGAACAGCATTTATTCTACTAGAAAAAAATTGAGTAGAACTTTCTGTAGGAAATTTCATGTGTTTGTTTGTAGAGGAGTTTTTCCTATCCTAGCTATGGCAGACTGATAGATGCTGGGTGAGTGGTGTGGAATTCAAAAAAGTTATATTCTGAAGTTGCTGCTACAATCAGGTTTTTTTTAGAAATGTCAGATAACACAAATCAATAGACCAAGGTCACAAGCCACCAAGGAAGGGAAGAATCCTACAGGAAACACTCTATAGAATGCCAGGCCTTAGGGGTCTTTCTTCCTATCATTCCTTCCTATATTTCAATTAAGTCTTGGTGCAAGAGATCAGAACGTTCCGATCACTAGACAGTTCCAACACTCCAAACTAGATACACATTTTTCCTACAAAATACAGAACTTGCTTTAAGGGGCGCTTGGGTAACTGAACTGTATCCTCACATCCATGTTTGTTTGAATCTACCTGTTGGTGGTTCTACACTATTATGATCTTCAATACATTGTTAATGCATAGGATCTTAACCTCCTAGATGAAAGATGAGAGAGAATGGAAAAGACAGAAGGGAAAGAAGACAAGAGAAACTTGTCCATAGTTTACACCTGAGCATTTTTTCCCCTTTGAAAGTAAAAATTTGTTCACTCATTTGTTGATCAGAACTGCTCCACTAACTGTAAGTTTCTGTGTTGTGAGTGGTTTAGGCTCTGTGCTAATTGTAACCCATTCAGGATCACCTTCTCCCACAGCACTGGGGTTTCTTTGCCAGCCTCACTGTGCTAACCTCTATCCCAGCCTTGTTTCAGAGGACAACCTTTTGTGTTCAGTCCTTCTCAGGTTCTGCATTGCAAAGAAAACACTGGGCCCAGGGTTTCTGATCAGTCTTTTTGATCTGCCCAGATTTTATTTACCTTTTGTTTCTGATGCAACCATGTGGATTCAGAGGAGTGGAAAAATAAGGAAAATGGTAAACATTTAGCATAAACATGCTTTATGCTAAACAATAAAATATTAATGTATCTACAGATATCCTTATTTTGTAGTAGATATACATGACAAACATGTCATCCTCAGAGTGACAATGACTTGGTCAGTCCACAGCTTATTCTCCAGCTGGGTATCTTGAGTGTTACACGGGAATACAAAATGTTTCTCTTGAAATTTCTCCTTGGGTTGATGAGTTCAGAACTGTTCTGATGGTTGTTCTGGAGTCAGGAAAAGGTTGTCATGAGACATGTCTAAGCATAACTCTTTGTCACATAAAAAGCATCTTTTTTCTTCTGGTGGACATATTTAAAAGCCCCAAACTGCAGGTTTGTCCAGCATCATCAAAACAAAGTGATATTAGGATTGAAGAGTCCTGTTTAACAAGCGTCAGGCAGAGTTACACTGATGCTGCCCAGAGCACAGGATGTGCACAAGCAGGATGTTTCCAAGACAAGCATTTTTCACTGTCATGTAACAGGAAGGCTGAAGGAGCTCTGTAATTGGCTGAGTTCTCAAATGTAATTCTGCTTAGCTGGATAAATCAGCCTGATGTGTACGCTACTCTTACTTAAGAAAATGAGAAATTTTTACATGAAATCTTTCTGCAACAGAACAGTGCTTGACACTGAAATTAAAATTCAGGAAAGCTAGTGATGTTCTAACTCAGCTGGCAAAGCTTCTCTGTGTCCTTTTATACCCTTAACCTCCTCCTGACATTGAGAAAAATGGTCTTCAGTGTGTTTCTCTTGTGTATAACCCAGATCTTCACTGTTTTCCTGCCCCTATTTGTATGACTTGTGCCTTTTCTGTCTCATCAAGCACATCAGAGCATCCAGCCCAGGCTGGAATTTTGGTATGGCTTGCAAATATTGCAAACTGCAAAGCAGGGCAGCATGGCTCTGGAGAAAGAGGAGGCATGGACGTGGGAGTGCTGAACTTGGAGTAATAATTTCAGTCCTCAGAAGTCCCTGCTAGCCAGAGCTGAACCCTTTGGCTTTGGGAGACAGGGACCTCACCTGTCAGGAAGAGATCACTCCCCACAATGCAGAAAACCTCAGCATGGGTCTTCCTTCTAGCACAGGCTGATTAAAGCACTGGCCTAATAAATGGGATTCTGGGATCAACTCTCAGCAGTGGCCAAGTCTCATCCATTTTAAGGGAAGTTAAAAGTTCTGCACCTTAACCCTTTGCTAAGCCTTCAAAAGCAGTGCTTCAACCTGTTTTCCTGATTTTCAACACAATCTTCATGGAGACCTTTCCCCTTTTTAGCCCTTTTAACCTCTTCATGGAAACCCGAAAGGCTTGCTGATTCATACTCAGCACTTCTTTGACTTGAGGATCACCAGAGTGCCAAATGAAGTTTGTCCCCACTTTGTATCTGAAGATAGGTATTGTATTTCCCTCTGCTGTGCAAACAAGGAACCTGAGGAAGAAAGCAATTACATGATTCACCCTAATTGCAAAGTAAGCCTGTTGGTGCGATCCTAGGGTTACTGCTGACCCCCTTGACTTGTCAGCAGGCTAAAATTAGATGATTTGCTGATCCAGTGAGACTTTTGCCTGTACAATACAGGAACTTTGTCTTGGGATATCTCAACTGGATTTCAAGTGGTTTTAAATATCCTTGCTTATAAATTATTCGCTGCTTCTAGATTTGTGATATTCCTTTCTTCTAAAAGTCAAATTGAACACACTAGGATGCTTTCATGTGGTGGAGAAACAGGTCTCTGTTTTCTCAATCACATGTGGATTAATGTTCTTTCATTGAGAAGAAACCACAGCTGCCACAGCTGTTTTATGGAAATGCTGCGGATGACTATAAATGGTCGGTTGGTTGGTTGGTTGGTTGGCAGTTAACGTGGGTTTGTCAAACATTGTTCATCCAGCAAGCATCTACTGGGAGAAGGTTGTACATTGACCTTTCAAGATCTCATTATTGCTTTGCATTGTCTGAAAAATCAATAGATAGATAGATAGATAGATAGATAGATAGATAGATAGATAGATAGATAGATAGAGCAAGCTTAGGAAGCAGCTGCTACATGTGGCAAAACAACCTGATCTCTCCTCCCAGATTTCCTGTGGCTCTTTCTAGGCATTTCTGGTGACCAGGTTATGGGGTGGATTGTTTGTGGTGTGATGGAGTCTCCATTTCCCCCTCATTCTGCAGTATAAATACACCTGTTACACAGACGAGCAGAGGCAATAGGCAAGAGCTCCACCCTATTACAGCAGCTGCTTTGTGCATTTAGAAGTCTTGCTCTGAGAAGTTTATTTTTTGTGCGTGGATGTGCATTAGGAATTTAGAAATCTTGCAGCACAGCTTGTAGGATAATTGTAAACCCAACAAAAACATGAGGAGCTTCCTCTTAGATTTTAAATTGTTAAGGAGATAATAATTTGCATTGGAAAAGACAGATGAGAAAACCGTCTCACTCTGTGTAATCTTTTGACTAAGATTCAGTGAGATGTTTGTATGCCTACAGAGA